TCTTCTCCGCCATCAGCTGCTCCTTGATCTTGTTAATCAGGACCAGGTTGTCCAGCTGCGGGACAGGAGAGGGACTGAAGGGGCTTGGCCAGCGCCCGGCCCGGTCCCTGGCCGTCAGTCCACCCGCAAGCCCCTCGCCCCACAGCCAAAGCAGTAAGAGGGGAGGGTGGCCGCAGGGGGGCGCTCCTCTTACCTGGCTGGGCATGGTGGGAGGAGGGGGCCAGAAGTAGGGGTTGTTAAATCGAGGCTCGGCCATCCTGCGGGGAGAGAGCGACTGTTACGGGGAAGAGGGCCCTCCCCACCAGCTGGGGGCGACCTCAAGTCGGAGCCAGTGCGTGCGACCCTCACCCCGCAGCGGGGCAGGCCTCCTGCCAGGGGCAGGGAACCGCAACCTCAGGCTCCAGAGTCGAATGCAGCGGCTCCCTCAGTGGACACAAAGGTCACATCCAAACCACAGTGCTGCCAGCCCCTCCTGAAACTGCAGACCAATCCCCACCCCCAGAAGGAACCGGCAGAGCCAACCCCATGGACCCGTGGATTCTGCACTAAAGCCCCTCCTCCCCCCACCCCACCCCCACCACTCCCATCCCCGCTTCAAAGGCAAACAGGAGTCCTGGGCAACCGTGTCAATGGCCACAGCAGAGGCAACGGGCCGTCCCTCATCCCTGCTCCTATGACCCATGGCCCCTCTAATGCAGACGCCCCCATCACCACACAGGGCAACCTGAGTCAGCAGGTAAGTCTTTCTGAGAGGCAACCTGGCCGGACGACTTACAAGGACCCAAATGGTTATAGGACTTTGACCCAAGAAATTGTACCTCTGGAAAGTGACCTTTAAGAAACAAGCATGGCCGTGGGCAACCCTTTACCAGGAGAATGTGTCAGGTCGCTGTGCACAGGAGGGGGCTGAGGGGGCCTGAGGCTCGCGACCTGGGGCTCTTCAGAAGTGACTGTCTGGTGGCCCTGGCCTCCCAGTCCCATGGCAGGCCTGTGCGGTCAGAAGGCCTTTTCAACCAGGGAAGTATGCGGGATGGGCCTTCAAAGCTAACAGTCTTCCTGTGGCCCTGGAGTGAGAAGTGCCGTACAGGGACCATGCTGGGCAGAGGGGTTCCATTGTCTTGCTTCCTACCCCATTTCTCTTATTTAACAGAAATTACTAACTGTAATTTGTGTCCACTGAGCGGCTCCCTCAGTGGACACAAAGGTCACATCCAGACCACAGTGCTGCCAGCCCCTCCTGAAACTGCAGACCAGAGAAGGGAAGGCTCTGCCCTGCGTCTTTAATCTGAGCTGCACAGCCTCTGCCTAATGTCTGCATCCTAACTGATCTCATTGCTTAAATGAACTTACTTTGATAGGCAAGGCCAAAAGGAAGTGTCTTCAACCTCTTCTCTTGGTCCTTACAAGCCTGAGGAGCCCCTACTGGAGTTGCAGACAGAGGGTTTCAGGAGAAAACCCTCAAAAAGGTTAAATCTAATCTCAACCCTTTAAGAAAGATGTTTTCTGTGAGTTATCTCCTGTGATCCTTAAGTAAGAAGAAGGTATTATAACCCCACATTACAGGTGAGGAAACAGGCCTGGAGGGAAGGGAAGAGAGCTGCTCAAGACCACAGGGCTAGGGTGTCAGAGTCAAGACTAGAAATCAGATTTGCACAAGTTGGTTCCTCTTGTAATTTGCTTTGTAAACCCCAGTCTCAGTTGAGCAAATAGCCACATGCCAGTAACTCAATACCTGTATGCAAAAACCCTGGCCTCTCACTTCCAGCCTGAGGTGGTTTTGTGTGAGCCTGGCCAGCCTGGGCATCAGAATCTTCCTCTGGGGTGGCCAGGGCAGCCCCTGCCTAACAGCTCTCCTGCTCCCACCACCTGCAGACGCCAAGCTGCCCTTCCCCCTACCCATCCCTTGCAGCCCCGTACAAGCAGCACTTCCTGCCTGGAGTTCTCCCAGAATGCTCCAGGGGCCTGAGGGTTCTTTCTCAGAAAGACCTCAAAACAATAATAACAGCGAGGAGGCTGCCGTGGGCCAGGCACACTGACTCTGAAAAGCAGGTGCTCTCATCCCCCACATTTTACCACGGAGGAAACTGAAGTTCAAAAAGGTGGAATGACTTGGTCAAGGTCACACAGCAAGTAAGCAGAGAGCTCAGACTCCCACTCTAAACTGCCTGACTCTGAGGTCCAGCTCATCGGTCCCTTAGCTGTTCCGGCCCAGAGGTTATATTAATAAAGTGAGTTGCATGACAGAATGAATAGATGAAGGCATGATCATCGGAATTATTTTAAAGACAAACCCACACGACTATCTAGCGCTGCTGACAGTTTATCAAGCTCTTCTGTACCCACTGGCATTCGCATCAGAGCCCCGGGGAGCAGCGAAGAGTGTCCACCCCCATTTCCTAGAGGAAGAAGCCAGGGCACTAGGAGGGAAGCACTTTGCTCCAGGCACGTGGATGGGGAAACAGGAAGAGGTGCTGGGCTGCAATGGTGGGCATCGGCTCTCTGGGCATCAGTTTTCCTCGTCTGTAAAATGGGGTGAAACACCCCTGGCCCAGGACTCTGTCCAATGCACCCAGCTGTTGCTCAGGCAGTTCTGGGGGAAGCTGTCCTCTCCTCCTCGTCAATCCTATGCTGAGTTCAGGCTTTCCAAAGCCCGGCCCTGGTCAGAAAGGATGTGGAAGAGGGTGGCTTGCTTAGGGTCCCATAGCTGCCACAGAGCATCTTCTCGGCCATTTACCAGGCCCCCGGCCAGACAGGGACCACCCTCACCTTGGAGGGGAAGCAGGCCCAGAGAGGGGAAGGCTCTGCCCTGCGTCTTTAATCTGAGCTGCACAGCCTCTGCCTAATGTCTGCATCCTTCTCTGGCTGGTCTGAAATAATTGATTTGGTGGGTTGATGACCTTGGTCCTGGTGTATCCCTACTGTGTGTCAGATGCAGGGAAGGCTGGCTGAGGTGGGGCGGGGGAACACGTGCGAGTTTCTACTGAACATCAGACACATGGCTAGGTGTGCACCCAGAGCATCTAATGTGAGTCCCCCAGCAGGCCGGGCAGGTGGGTGTCCACCTGTGCAACCCCGGGACCTGCATGACAAGAGGGGAGAGGGCTGGCAAGGGGGAGGGGGAAAGGTGGCCAGGGCTGGGCTAAGCCCCTCAGACCTTGTTTTGAGGGAGGGCTTTAAGCAGGAGAGAGACTGGACAGATGTGTGTTTAGGACAGGTGGACGAGGCAGAGGGCATTCCTGGCAGAGGCACCAGCTTGAGCAGAGGTATGCCAGTCCAAGGCAGGTTTGGGACAGTGAGCAGCTACCCACTGGCATCAGAGAGAGAGCTGGAGAGTGGGGGGGGGGGCGGGGGGGAGAGCCACAGGGCAGTTGGCAGGGCCTTGAATGCCACGCTAAGGTGTTGGGATGGATGCTGGTGGTGAGAAGGCATCAGGAAGTGTTCTGGGCCAGGGGGGCAATGAGCCTAAGGGGTCAGAGGGAGAAGCCTGGGGACAGCGCTGGGGGCAGAGGGGACAGAGGCAGAGCAGACTGGGTGGGGCTGAGTGTCCCTGGCAGAACAGGCAGAGGAGACACGCTGGTGGGGGGGAAGGACACGTGGACTGGGCTTCAAGCCCCAGACAGAAGCCTGGACTCTGTACTGCATCCTGGGACAGATAGCACTGATCCTTGCAGTGGGGCTATCATTTGGGGGGTTTTGCCCTAAAAGGGGGGAAGAGTTGGATGGGTGGATGAATGAAACACCTTCCAGAGCTGCCTCTGAAAACAGCATCCTGGCAGCTGCCCATTCACCCACCCGTCCGTCCATCAGTACATCCATTCATCCTGAATACACCTTACGGGCCAAACAGGGAGCCAGTGCTGGGGAGCCTGAGGCAAACAGAAGAGCGCTGCCCCCCGGGAGCCCCAAGCTGAGTGGAGGAAGCAGACAAGTGACCCAAGTTCCTGAGAAAAAGAACTTTTGCCTAAGAAACCTACTACACGCCACCGAGGCACGTAGTCAACGCTGACGGGCCATCCTCCAGTCCTACCTGGCGTCCCTGCCACCGGGTCCTTTGGGAAGATCTGTGTGTGTGACCCCTGGCTCCCTCATCTCAGTCTCTTTCACAGCAACCCCCACCCCCGCTGGGCTGCTTAGGGTAGCGCAGGTGATGCTTCTCTCCCACTGACCTCAGTACCTGGGTGGCCCACCTACTCTAGGACTTTAAATGTCAACCAACCCCCAAGTCTCCGCCTGCAGCCCTGGCCTCTTCCTAGAGCTCCAGACCCAACTTGCCGGCTGCCTCCCTGACACATCCCTCTGGCTGTCTCCCAGCCTCTCAGACTCAGCAGGCCTAAGCCGGGCTTGGTCTTTCCCTCGATGGACACCTCCTCTAGCCATTCCCAACTCCAGGAGGGCCTCCCCAGCTGCCCATATGCTCTTGCCACATACATACATTGATCTACAACACTTCCCCCCTTCCCAGTTCAGATCCATCGCCAGCCACATCCTCAGAATTCTCACTTCCTTCCACAAGTCCTGGCTACACTCACCTCACCTGGCCAAGGAACAGCCTGCTTTGCTTGGAGCCCAGTGCACCCAGGTTCAATTCTTGGCTCAACTCACCAACTGTGTGATCTTGGGCAAGTCACTCACTACTGCCCCCCGAGTAAGGGAAGAGCAGCCCAGAGCCAGGGGCCTGACCCAGGATGGAAAGAAAGGATCAGGGAGGGCTTCCCAGGGGCAGTGATGCTGGCTTGGGTCTTAAAGGATGAGTGGGAGCTAGCCAGACAAAGGAGTGGGGAGCACTACTGGCAGAAGGAGCAGCCTGAGCAAAGGCCCAGAGGTGAGCAGCCACACAGCATGTGAGGGGCTAACGCGTTCCGGTGTGGACTGGGAGACAGGACACGAGGCTGGAGCCATCAGCCGGGGCCAGACCCAGAAGGTCGATTCCTGAATCCTAGGCCTGGAGTCTGGACTTGAAGCAGTGGGTGATGGGACGGAATCTGTGGTTTAGAAAGACCCCTCTGACTGCTGAGTGTAGACAGGACTGGAGAGGCCAGAAGTGGAGGCAGGGAGAGAACACCCCTTAGGAGGCCCTTGGGAATGGAGGTGACAGGCAGGGGTCAAACCTGGGCCAGGCAGGAGAGTGAGCACGGAGGCCTGGCTATTTGGTTGAGCTGGAGGCCAAGGAAGTATGTGCAGGCTGCCACCCATGGTGTGGCCTGGCAGGTTCCCTGAATAGCAACATGGACACACATGGCCACAGGAACATGCAGACAGACAGCACCAAAGTCAGACACACACGACAGACACAGACCAGTAGCCCCAAACATGGACAGAGGGGGACACAGCAACTCCCATGAGCAGGAACCCACAGCCACCAGGACACAGAGTCATAGGAGGAGGCTGTTCAAGTGGGCGCATGCATACGACCCTCGGTGCAGACCCAGAGGGACGCAGTGAGGGATGCTCAGGGGAGCTGGGATGAACACACGGGCTTAATCCCCCAAAGAACAAATCCCTCATTGACAGATTTCAACCTGGAACCACAGGCTGCTTACCTAGAGTGTCCTTTCCCACTTGGTGAACTTCTACTCATCCTTCAAGACCCAGCTCAAGTGTTCCCTCTTCTACGGAGCTTTCCCTGAACCCCCAGCCAGTCACTTCCTCTGTGTTCCCAACAGCACCTTGTATATGAGAATAACAATATCAATGATAAAATGGCAGCTACCATTAATTTCAACACCTATGATGTGCCAGGCACTGTGCTGACTGTGTCATATGCATCATGTCACTGAATCTTCCCAGTGACCCGTGAAATGTACAGTTAACAAAAGAGGAAACAGCACTCAGAGAAGTTGACCAACTTGCCCAAAGTCACAGAGCTAGCAAGTGATGGCGTGAGGATGCCTCCCAGCACCACAGGGACAGTCAGACCCTGGTGTGGTATCTGCCTCCCTGGGCGACTTCCCCACCAGGTTACGAGCCCTTCGAGCCAGGGAGGGCTGGTGCTCATTCACCTCTGCCATCCCCGCATCCAGCCCACGGTGGTCTCAGAAACTCTTTGTAGCATGAAAATGGATAATAATATCGACTACCGTGTCTTGAGCACTTACAATAGGCCAGGAACTGTGTTGGGGCATTTTACAGCCATTAATTCACTGTTGGAATAGACCCATTAGAAGGAAACTGCGGTCCAGAGAGGTTAAGCAACTTGTCTGAGGTCACAGAGCCCAGCCTGGATTTAAAACCAGGTCTGTCTATCACCCTATCCTAGGAAGGAGGCCTCTGAGGCCTGCCTGGCAACCTGCACAAGGGGGAACTTAGGGTAGGGCACTGCGGAAGGGGTACACCAGGTGCCAGGCCCTGCTGCCCAGGTAGGTTGAGGCCTAGACAAACAGACACAAAGGGGACAGGCAGCCCAGGGCAGAATGAGGCTAGCCTTGTCCACTGCAGGGCAGGGGGGTGCGGTTAAGCAACTTATGTCCCGCCCCCACCCCCAGCCCATCCCACAGACATTAAAAAATGAGAACTGACCAGACCCCGCGGCCACAAAGCAAGTGGGAGGGAACAGGACCCAAAACTGTCCGGACACTATGATTACAAAGAGGCAAAAATAAAGACCTGCGCCAGAAAAAGCCAGCAGCAGGAGCCGCGCCCAGAGGGAGGCTGGGCGTGCCGGGGGAGGCGGCTGGAGCCCATCTGACTTTGTGTCATTGTTTCTCTGATTTCCACATTCTCTGTAATATTGTTCGGTTGCTTTTATATTGAAAACAATAAATTTATTCTTTTAAAAATGAAAGAGAAAGAAAAAAGAAAGAAAAGAAGAAAAGGAAGGTTGGGGGAGGGGGGAACAGACGGAGGGTCCGGCGCATGGAGGAGCAGGGAGAGGTCAAGGTCAGCCAGGTGGACACTCCGTTGACAGTTACAAGCCAGGCCCTGCGCAGCCCCCACGCTCCAGGCACATATGACCTGCGTAGGGGACAGCAAATGTCGGGAAGGGCTACCTGACAGAGGCAACAGTCAGTCTGCACTTTGAAGCTGGTTAGGATTCCACCAGGTGGGGAAAGAGTGTCCCCACCCCCTTTCCTGCCGTGGTCCAGGCCCCCTTCAGCTGCTGTGAGAGTTTCCTCATGGTTTCCCCACCTCTGCCCACATTCCATTCTCAGTAGTCACTCTGATATTTCTAAAATGTAGAATATAAATCCGATCCCCTCAGAACCTCCCATGGCTCCCTACGTCCCTGCACACAGGGTCTGGATTCCTTCGTCCTTACATATCCAGCCCCTGCTGACCTCTTTGGCCTCCCTTCCCTGGCTGTTCCGCCTTACACTCTGCCCCTGCCGCTCAGGCCGGCCTGAGCGTCCCCCAGTGTCCCACTTCCCTTCTCGCTTCCTTCACCTCCCAGCAGGCTGCCTCCTCCCCCTGGAGCCCTCTGCCCTCCCTGTCTCACTGGTTAACTACAACTTATTCCTCGGGCCCCAGATTACAGGCTATTTCCTCTTGAAAGCCTCCTGGGACCCTCCACCGCCCAGGCTGTGCTGGGTACCTCTCCTCTCTGCTCCCTTTCTGCCCTGCATTTCCATCATCAGACACTCATCACTCCGTTTTCTGCCTGTTTTCCCGTCCACCTCGGCTGCTGGGCAGGTTCTCTGTTAGAACAGAGTCACAGCTGAGCCATTTATGTTCCCAGCCCCACACTGTACCTGACAAACGTCTGAATGAAGGAATGGTCTGGTGGAGGAACTGAAAGTGTCATGGTCTGGGTAGAGGAAAGTCCCTTCACCCTCCTCGGGGTCCCTGCCACTCACCCTGGCATGATGATGTCCCCTATGTTAAACTGTTTCCTATTTCCTGTAGCTCAGCCCTGTCTTCCTAACTGATCTGAGAAGGGGTTGTATGCTATAAAGACCAGCAGACCAAAAAGGGTATTAACAGCTAATAACCACAGAAAATGGTTCTGCTTCCCTGGCAGTGAAAAGTAAATGAGCTTCACAGGTTAAAATAGCAAAAAAATATAAGAAAATGGTAACACCCAATGCTGGCGAGCCTGTGGTGACACTGGCACTCCCATTGCTGCCGGGGGTGTAAACTGGATCATTGTAAAGCCATCTGGCAATAGTGTGTCACGAGCTCTAAAACTTTTCAGACTTCCTGGCCTAGCAATCCCACTCCTGGTCATCTATCCCTAGAAAATCCCCCAAATTCAGATAAAGTTTTAGACACGAAGCTGTTCGCTTCGGTGGTTTCTTAGAATAGCAAAACCTGGAACATCCGAAATTTTAAACAAGAAGGGGATGGCTCTGTACATCATGTTAAACAATGACAGAGTCTGCAGTCATTAATAATAGACAGCGTTTACTGGCGTTGTAATGACTTATTTAACACTCATATCAACCTGAAAAGGAACTGAGGCACAGACAGGTAACTTGCCCAAAGTCAAACAGTCTGTGTCTGATAGGAACCTAGAAAGTTGGGCTCCAGGGCCCCTAATTTCCCCCGTTAGAAAGAAGGATTAAAACCACGCTGCATGCCAAAACCGGTTTGGCTCAGTGGATAGAGCGCCGGCCTGCAGACTTGAAGGGTCCCGGGTTCGATTCCGGTCAAGGGCATGTACCTTGGTTGCGGGCACATCCCCAGTGGGGGGTGTGCAGGAGGCAGCTGATCGATGTTTCTCTCTCATCGATGTTTCTAACTCTCCCTCTCCCTTCCTCTCTGTAAAAAATCAATAAAATATATTTAAAAAAACAACAACAACAAAAAAAAAACCACGCTGCAATCATTCAGAAAATACCTGTGATACAACATCTATATATAAAAACAAACAAACAAACAAAACAAAAAAACTAGGTGCGGAGAGAAAACAGGGAAGGAAACACAAAAACGCTAATAGCAGTGGTGTTCAGGCTAATCTGATTTTCCTACAGGATGGTTATGTGACTTTTATTTAAGGAGTATTTTTAATAAAAATAAAGGTTCAGCAAGCTTTGGCCAAGCAGATACCCCAAGCCGCCCACAGCCCCATGAGGATTCTGGCCCTCCTCTCTGGGGCTTTAGAGAGGAGGACCAGGCCAAACAAAGGAAAGCCCGCCCCAGCCACTCACTCTCATACTTAAATCGCCCCGCTGGTCCCATCACTTTGGGGCACAGCTCAAAACTCCCCAGCATAGCACCCAGGGGCCTTTGCCAAGAAGGCCCTGCTAGCCACATACATCCCAGCAGGTACCTCCCCCTCTCCAGCCTCACTACCTGCAGGTTCCTCCAAAACGAGCTGCTCTCTTGCGCCACCGGGCCTTTGCACAGGCTGTGCCCTTCCATCTGGGGTCATCACCAGCCAAAACCCTGCCAGGTTCCCGTCAACCATTAAGTCCGCTCGGTGTCACTGCGGGAAAACCTTCCTGATGGCCGCCCCTCCAAGGCTCCATCTGCAGCTTTTCCCCTGAGTTCCCACAGCTGCCTGGGCTTCTCCCTCCAAAGCCCTGACCCCACTGTCCTGGAACTGCCTGGCTACTTGTTTGCCCACGGAGCTGGGAGCTCCCCCAGGGGAGCTTGGGTCTGGCTCTTGGTTACAACTCCACACCCTGACTCGGCCCCACAGCTTACCAGGCTCCTCCTTAAAAGTCACTTTCTGACCTTCTCCCAACAGGAATCGGGCCACCCTGTTACACACCCACTGCCCCCTGCATTCTCCCCACCCCGCCTCTGTACCACATCTCTAAATACTCCCTCCAGTCCTGGCCCACAAGGATGGAGCCACCGCTGTAGGCCCAGAGTCAAGTGCTGGCCACACAGTAGGTGCTCAAGTGCCCACTTCACAGTAGGTGCCTAATAAAGTTCACTGAGAGAATCAGTGAGAGGAGGGGGTCTGTCCACATGGGCCTGGAAGACTGAGAAGTTTGCCAGGAGAGTGAGGGTGGAGAGAGCCTCTGAGCAGAGGGGCAGCTCATGAGGATGCAGAAGGTTCTCAAACTCGCTACTGCTGCGGGTATGGCTGAGCCAGGGGGTGGGGCATTCCTGGGAAGAGGAGCCCATCTGAACGAAGATGTCATAAAGATGGGACTTACTGATGGGGGGAAGGGAGATGCCAAGAAATGCCAGGGAAGGGTAAGCCAGGAGGCAAAAACTGCCTGTGCAAAGGCCCGGAGGCAGGAAGGCACACAGCACACATGTGGTCTGCTGTGGGGCCGGGCAGTTCTCAGGGGAAGGAGGGAAAGGCGGCCGGGGCAGTCACCGAGGACCAGAGCTCCAGGCCAAGGGCTTGGATGAAAGGCTGGGCGTGGGGCATAGGAGGCCCCTGAGCAGGAGGAGGCCGTGGTCAAGGTTTTCAATGGAGAGGTCATTATGGGGCCGGAAGGATGGCCTGAGATGGACGAGCAGGAAATGGTCTAAGTTGAGTTTCTCCATTTTCCCAGCGCCTTGAGACCCCCGTGTACTCAGAGGTTTCCTCCCCATGACCCCTCTGCCCTCCATGTACCCCACTCCATACAGCCCTGAGCCCTGAGCCCTGAGCCCTGAGCCCCACTCCACCCAGGTCAGCCTCAGAAGCTGGCTCCTGGGAACTTCCTGTGAAGAACAGGCTCCCAAGGGTCCTGGGTTTCCGCAGCCCTCCGGGGGGAGGGGGGGGGCTGTTTCCATTGCTGTGGTGGGGCTGACCGGAGCAGGGGGGGCTGCTGTCTATGCCCTGGGC